AAAAAAAAAAAAAAAACACAAGTGATACGATAATATAAATAGTGGATTTTAGGGGCCGGCCCGGTGGCACACTGCTACAGTGCGCCGCTTGGGAGCGCAGCGGTGCTCCCGCCGAGGGTTCGGATCCCACATACAGACCAGTTCCCGCTCACTGGCTGAGCGAGGTGCGGGCACAGCGCCGAGGGTTGCGATCCCATTGCCGGACACGAAAAAAGACAAAAAGGAAAAAAAAAAAATAGTGGATTTTATTAATCTAAGCATTAGAATAACACATTGATTTCTTGAAGGAATAAAAAAAGGAAAAAACAGCTGTTATTATTTTTAAGTTTAATTTTTGATTTAATGGAAAGGAAGGAACATAAAGTACCATTACTCTCAGATATCAATTGGAAATTAAGTTATATGGGGCTACTTACATTACCATCTGTATATGTATGTGCTGTCCAATAGAACTTTCTGTAGTGATGAAAATGTTCTAGATTCACACTGTTCAATATGCCAGCCATTGGCTACTAAGCACTCAAAATGTGGCTACTGAAACTAAAATTTAATTTTATTAATTCTAATTAATTTAAATTTAAATAGCCACATTTGACTAATATCTATTGTGTTGGACAGCACAGATCTACATAAATGATATTTAATAACATTTTATATCCATACACAGTTTTAAATTATAGAACTCTAAATTAATAATATATAAGGTAATTTCAGATGCCACTTTTCCCAGATAATTTGGTCTCAGAGATTTCTTCATGTGAAAAAGAGATCATTTTCGGCTTGAAAAAAATCATTTCAACAACCTGTTTAGAAATAAAAACAAATGGCAACAGTTGATGCACTAATTAAACTGAATATTTAAGGGCCATCGGGCCCAAATTTATTATCTGCCTGCACTAGGTCTAATGTCACACTCCAGAATTTAGTGAGGTATTTGTATTTATAAAGCTGTTGCAGCCTTCTATGACTAGAGAGGAAAGAAAAAACGTTGGGTTACCACATACCATTTCTATTCATGCTGTTCATCCATTTATCAAGCTCCTCCATTTCTATTTCCATAACAGAAGGTGTGTCCTCCTCAAAAATAGGGCTAAGATAGAGAGCAGAAAGCTTGTTGAACAAAATGTGCAGTGCTGAATTTCTTTGGGAAAAGCCTAGAATGTTGACTCTGAGGAAGATGAACTTGACCCAGTGCCTGACACTCTAGGGTAGCCTGGGGGTGGTTTGTACAATTTGAGAGTATCAAACTCTAACAGGAAGAAAGGCTAACACTGAAACGAACCCACATCTGTCACTGATCCAAAAATGGAGGGCCCCAGCGGGTGGGCTGGAAGGGGCACCTAGGAGACTGCCTGCCCCGCTGAAGGGAAGGGAAGTCTGCGAGCCTTCCACTGCGAGCCCCCTAGGGGAGTTGCCACATTTAGCTTTAAGCCTTGCTTAATTTCACTTCCCTTTCCTTGGGGCTTTTGATCAATGCCCCAGATCAAGAGGCCACTGTCAACAGGCTGCTTTTATCACCTCTCCCTTCAATTCCCAGGCTTATTTTCCTCTCTTGGAGAAATGGAGCCGTGGCTTTCAGAAATCCACTGTCCTCACTTGCCAGGGCTCAGAGAGCACAGGTAGGGGACAGAAGCCCCGAGATAGTGTAGATGGGGTTAGCGGGAGGAGAGCCCACCAGCTCTGAGTGGTAGCATAGGCATTACACCGTGTAGAGGAGGCAGCAAAGTTTCTGAAGCAGTCAGTCTGGGAGGCGGGGGCACACTGCCCCAGAACACACTTCTGGGAGAAATCTTGTCTGTCTCTGTCTGTCTGCCTGCCTCCTTCCCCTTGTGGTGGTTCACATGCAAACTTCATGCTTCTACCAAGGCTCTCCTCCTGTAATACCAGCTCAAGTATTTTCCCTGGAGATAAAATTTTTAATCAGAATAAATGAACCGATGCCCTTGAAATATAGCCAGGGTCAGAATATTTAACTATTATGCATTTGGAATTTAAAAAGATTGTTTTCCGAACAGAGGACCATGGCATAA